ACTTTTAAGTTATCATCATCAACCGTGCATAACATCATCAAAAGATTCAGAGAATCTGGAACAATCGCTGTGCGTAAGGGTCAAGGCCGTAAAACTCTACTGGATGCTCGTGATCTCCGGGCCCTTAAACGTCACTGCACCTCAAATAGGAATGCCACTATCAAGGAAATAACAGAATGGGCTCAGGAATACTTCCAGAAAGCATAGTCAGTGAACACAATCCACCGTGCCATCCGCCGTTGCCAGCTGAAACTCTACAGTGCAAAGAGGAAGCCATTTCTAAGCAAGCTCCACAAGCTCAGACGTTTGCACTGGGCCAGGAGTCATTTAAAATGGAGTGTGGCAAAATGGAAGACTGTTCTGTGGTCAGATGAGTCACGATTTGAAGTTCTTTATGGAACACTGGGACGCCATGTCATCCGGACCAGAGAGGACAAGGATAGCCCAAGTTGTTATCAACTCTTCGTTCAGAAGCATGCATCACTGATGGTATGGGGTTGCATGAGCGCTTGTGGCATGGGCAGCTTGCATGTCTGGAAAGGCACCATTAATGCAGAGAACTATGTTCAGGTTCTAGAACAACATATGCTCCCATCTAGACGTCATCTCTTTCAGGGAAGACCCTGCATTTTTCAATACGATAATGCCAGACCACATTCTGCAGCAATCACAACATCATGGCTACGTAGGAGAAGGATCCGGGTACTGAAATGGCCAGCCTGCAGTCCAGGTCTTTCACCTATAGAGAACATTTGGTGCATCATAAAGAGGAAGGTGCGACAAAGAAGGCCCAAGACGATTGAACAGTTAGAGGCCTGTATTAGACATGAATGGGAGAGCATTCCTATTTATAAACTGGAGAAACTGGTCTCCTCTGTCCCCAGACGTCTGTTGAGTGTTGGAAGAGGAAGGGGGGATGCCACACTGTGGTAAAAATGGACTTGTCACAACTTTTTTGGGATTTGTTGACGCCATGAAATTTGGAAACAACAGATTTTTCCCTTAAAATGAAACATTCTCTCAGTTTAAACTTTTGATCTGTGATTTGTGTTCTATTCTGAATAAAATATTAGATGTTGGCACCTCCACATCATTGCATTCAGTTTTTATTTAGTTGTACTCGGGTGCAATCACAATAAAGGTCTGTTGTGTTAATTTAAAAATACTGAGTTCACAGTCCAGCGCGTTCTACACATTTTAATGTCGTGCGCATGTTGTGAAAATGTATCTAAAAGTTTAAACACTCTGGATTTTTCCACACCATTACAAAGAGCTGCTGCAGAGGGTCCGAGCGGCCTCCTGGGGCTGCAGACCCCTGTCTTATTATCAGTGTCGTGCAGCTGGAGCCAAAGGGTGTGGTGCTTGAAGTTCAACGGTACACCATCGCTCACGTTAATGTCGTGTTTTTAAAACCGTGTCAGCGCTGAGGGGTTAAAGGGTTCTTTTTATTCTTCCTGGCTGAGTTCAGTCTGTCACGTGTTCATCTGATGTTTTCTCTGCACCTACAGGAGTCAAAGTCTTCTCCAACTGGCCCACGATCCCTCAGGTGTACTTTAACGGAGAGTTTGTGGGAGGCTGCGACATCCTGCTGCAGATGCACCAAAACGGAGATCTGGTGGAGGAGCTGAAGAAGCTCGGCATCCGCTCAGCTCTGCAGGACACGGAGAAAGAAGCCAAGTAAATCAAAGAGACGACTTGAAAACAGCTGAGAAGACGAGGACACGTCTTCAGATTGAAACCACCTCCTCCTCCTCCTCCTCCTCCTCCTCCTCCTCCACACACGCTCAAATGATTGCAGATAAAATGGTCTAAAAGCAGCCGTCACCTGGTTGGCCAACAAGAGTTCAGATTGAACAGCTGAGGACTTTAAGACGACACCTACAAGAACTTGGCAGGAGGAATCAGTGTTCCTGTGTCTCTTCTGAAGTCCTCACAAGTGATGCTGAGTTTGGCTCGCACAGACAAACCATCCTTTAGTTCTTTTAACGCGTTGATCTGAGAAGAAACCACAACAACCAGCAGGGAATCCAAAATAATCTGGTTAATCCTGGAACTACAGTAAAGGTTTATATAAAAGATGATGGAGCAGCTCTGCGCTCCATGTCCTCCGTAGAAACGTTTTGAATCGAGTTTCTGTGTAAAAGTTACGAACGACAACGTCTTCAGGTTTCTGAAAGGCCTCGGTTTGAAAAGAGTGAGACCGAATCGACGAGCAGCTGGTCTGAACGCAGCCAACATTAAACCGGTTTAATGTCGATGTTACAGTAATGCTTCGGTACTTCCAAAATTTCTGTCCAAATATTAATTGAACAAGTGAAAGTTTCCATGTTAATGTTTGAATAAACCTCTTTGAAATTTAGAAGACTGGCGATCTGCTCTGGACGTTGGTCCCTCGGATCGTTGAGCTAATGGCTAGTTTGAGCAGACCCACGAGAACCCAAAGTGGACCAAGCTTCCCTGTAGGTTTCAGATGTAGGTCCGGTCCCTCCATGTGAACGGACGGGATGTTATTGTGGTAAGGACAATCATCTTAAAAAACGTGATTAGGTGTCGACTCATGTTGATTTGTAATTTTATAACATCGGTTGCTTCATGCTGTAAAGGAAGAAGTGGGCGGGGCTTAAAGGCTCAGACCGGTTCCAGAAGTCAGACACTTGGTGGTTCATCTAGGGTCAGTGCCGTCGAAGCTCACCTGTCGGCTTTGAACTTAATCTTAATTTTTTTTTTTTTACAGCCTTCCACCAGGAAACCATAAGTTGTCTCTGTTGACACAAAGAGTCAGGGAATGCGAGACGTGACTAATGAAATCAAACAGACTGGGGTTGTAAGATTCCTGCGATCTGCTTCAGTCTGGGCTGCATCTGGACCATCTGGTAGCTTAGTCGCTCCTGACTTCTCCTAAAACTGATGCTGTTCAGAGCTTTCTACTAAATATTAACTTTTCCACAGAAGCCTTCTTCAAAATGGTCCTCAGCGGACACCACCAGGATTGAGTCATGCCCGAGAACTGCTCCCTGGGTTTCTCCACGAGTTGATGTCAACACTAATTCTTCCAGACACACTGCCTGTAGCTTCAGTGTGCTAACACAAAGGACGTTCATAGAGGTGCACGACGATACAAAATGTTTAGCTGGACCGCAGCCCGTCTCCTGCTGGCCTGAGACGCAGCAACATGAGCACGTCTCTTCCTGCCCACCGGGACCGACAGGAAGCAGATGATGTTTGTTCAGTCTGTGCGAGCTCCTGTTTGTCTCTTTGGTGTGTTCTTGTCGAGTCGATGTCGGCGGGGGACCTTCCTTCCCCGTCGCCATCGAGGCCAGCTGTTCTTGTGCAGTCGTGTCACCAGACCAACGTGCTGCAACACGTCGAACGTTCGAAGCTCGTTGATCCTGCAGAGATTAAAATATTTTCACACATTGCACCTCCGCAGCTGGTTTTCTGCACACCACAAACAAAAGCTATGTTTAAAGTTTATTTGAGCAACTTTTGTTAAATGGAAGGCTCTCGGGTGGTATCGGATGAACGTGGTCCACTCGCTGCCTGAAAGGTTCTGTTGGTTTAATGTAATTCAGTCTGGACATCTTTGAGAAACTTCCTGTTTAACCAGTTAATCTGCTTTAATGTAACAGTAGGAGCAGACTGGAAGCGGCCTTCGGCTGATGGTAAAGAGTGTTTGTTAAAACGTTTCCCTCAGACCGTCCCCATTGTTGCAGCTGGAGCTCCTGCAGCCAGCTGTTGCCAGCTGTGGGCCTCGGGCCTCATCTCGGACGCCAGGCCCGCCTCCAGCTCGTGACCCCCGGCTCGGAGCCCCCTCAGAAGTAGCAACTCGCACATCGCAATAAATCAAGGAAATGTGATTGAAGTTTTACCAGTTGTATTAAATCGAGGCAGGAAAAGGTTGCAGTGCAGCGCTGGCCCCTCCGATACACGATGAGAGATCCTGGACCGGAAGGACCGGATGGCCCGGGCTCCTCCACATTCTGGAGCACAGTTTGTCACGTGGATAAGAGGCCGCACAGAGTGTGGTCTCGATCACGGTGCAGGAAAAGCCTTTAGGCAATAAATAAATAAACTGCATTCCTTGACGGATGTTGAATCCCTGGGAGACTTTAGAGTTGCTGGCCCAGTTTAAACCAGTCAGAACAGGGTCATACTTTCATTATAATCTGTCTCTAAGCAGATCATAAAACCCAGGGTCGGTCTAGATCCAACACCACGCTGCTCAATAATCCAGGTATAAAAATGTGACAAAGTTCAGTCAGGTCCTCTGGATGGTGTCTGAGACTGTTGTGGCTCCTCGGACTGATGAAGTCATTTGGATGAAATGTTTCAACAAGACGAACCCATCCAGAGGACCTGACTCAACTCTGCTGAAGACTTCCTCAGAGATCATCACATTAATGAACACAGCTTGTGTCAACCACAAATCTTCATCCACGGTCCACTCAGGTCTCCCACCACACTGAGACGACCCCCCCAGTAAACATTTAGACAAAACAAAAAAGGTTGAATCATGTCATCTGGACTTCGTTTTTTTGTTAAAAAGAAACGTTTCGCCCCTCATCCAAGAGATTTAGACAAAACCTTTTTCTTCACCAAACCTGTTTCAGGATTTTCTTTAATACAAAAAAATATTTTCTTATGAATATTAAAACATAAGTGCACTTTACATAAAAACTATCATAAGGTTACACGGTTAAAGGGGTAGTTCAGACATTTTGAGGTGTGGTTCTGCATCTGACAGGCTAATGTTTTCAGTCAACCTTTATTTCTACAGGTTAATCCCATTGAGCCTCGAGGACTCGTTTACAAGAGAGACCTGGTTTAACAAAGTGATGCAGCATGAAGCTGCACTGCTCCATCTATGACCCCTGACCCCTACTCATCTTCCAGACTCATTGTTTTCTTTAAAGTTGCTCCGACTTCAATAATGTCTGATGTTCTTCTACACAGTTCTCATCCTTGGATACAGTCTGACTCATGTTCGTCTTATTCTTCCTGTTTCTAAGAAAGAAAAACAAATTAATGAAGTTTGTTTTATTTGATTAACAAGTGTGAACATGAATCATTTTGATTGTTGTTTTCAGTCATTATAATGAAATCGTGTGAAATGATACACAGGGCTGAAAGTTAAAAAAAATCCTGAGCCTGAAACTTTTTTGTGGTGTTGAGAGAATAAAATCATGACATATTGCCAGTGTTTATTAAAAATGCTCTATGAAAAGTGCAAACAGCTGTTTTAACAAACAATTCAGCTTCAAGTAACAATGATGAACAGATGAGGTTTCAATGTATTTGAACTTAAACAAAGTAAACTATGCCCCAGAGTACTAACAGCAGCAAAAAGTCTCGACACACTGAACAGACACATGTCAGTCAGTTAATTTGCAGTACATTTAGAGTACTACGTATCACAATCTAAAAGGAAGAAGTTCCACAGAGCTGCTGTCTAGGACACCTGGAGGAGCAGATGGTGGTTAAGGGCCTTGCTCATGGGCCCAGAGTGGGACAAATGAGGGTGGGGGCAGGTGTGGGTGCTTCACCTACCCCACCCACAATTTTGATGTTGTCGGTACCGGGACTTGACCCTGCGATCTTCCGATCACTGGCCCACCTTCTCTAACCTCTGTGCCACCACTCCCCCTTTAACTTTATTTATTTATTCATGTTCCTCACATGGAAAATCAACCATCTTGTTTAACTGCTTAAAAATATTAGTTTAAAACATTTCATCCACTAAAAACTAGTCTTTTAGAGCCGTCAGCCTGAAATAAATGTATTTAATATGATTTTTATTTGAATGCTTGTAGGGATTTTTTTTAAACCTCTACATTATTTTTTTGTATTGACAATATATTTATTTTACTGTAATTATTTAAAAAGTGTATTTTCCTCCATTAATCTGCCTTCTGGGTCAACATCCTCCTCTGTTCTGCAGAGCTCAGAACTGATACTTGGTTCTGGACCCCCCTCCTCTGTGCAGTCAGACCCGGGCTCGGTCCGCTCTTCCTCTTCTAAAACAAATGATCTTCCTCTTCATCACCCCCGACTCACCCCCTGCTCTCAATGACTTTATCGCACTGAACTCCATTCAACTTGTGCATCTTTTTCTTATTTTTCCTGTAAATTGGTGCTTCACAAATAACTTGAAGCCTTCGTCAGAAAGGAGGGGGGAGGCAGAAAATTTAAAAAAATGTCAAGTCTGGTCCTCTGGACATTCAAAAAAAACATTCAATTCAGTTTATTTATAAAGCGCCAAATCACAACAAAGTTGTCTCAGGGCACTTTACAGGAACATTCACATAAAAGCCAATTAGTAAATTTCTCTATCTAAGGAATCCAGCAGACAAGTTGAATCTTGGCTTCGTTGCAGTCTCCCATCCTGAGCAAGCACAGTGGAAACAGTGGAAAGAAAAACTCCATTTAAAAGAAGAAACCTCCAGCAGAACCAGGCTCAGGACAAGTGGCCATCTGCTCTGACCGGCTGGTTTGAGAGGACAGGAAGGAGAGACAGAAGAACACAGAATGGTAGGTCCAGGTATAGGTCCAGGTATAGGTCCAGGTATAGGTCCAGGTATAGGTCCAGCTGTATCTGAAAGACAAAAAAAAAACATGTTAAGGATAGAAAAAATAATTACAAATACAAAACAGGTTGAGCAGAGTAAGTAAAGACAGTAGCAGAGTGAAAATTGTGGTCAGTTTGTCCTCCAGCAGTCTAAGCCTATAGCAGCATAACTAAGGGACAGCTCAGGAAACCCAAGCCGACCATAACTATAGGATTTATCAAAAAGGAAAGTCTTAAGTCTAGTTTTAAAACTGGATAATGTGTCAGCCTCACGGACAGAGATTGGAAGTTGGTTCCACAAGAGAGGAGCCTGATAACTGAAAGATCTGCCTCCCATTCTGTTTTTGTAAACTCTAGGAACCACAAGTAAACCTGCAGTCTGAGAGCGAAGTGCTCTGTTAGGAAAATATGGAACAATAAGGTCTGTAATATAAGATGGAGCTAGGTTGTTGAGAGCTTTGTAGGTTAGAAGTAAGATTTTGAATTCTATTCTGGACTTGACAGGGAGCCAATGGAGAGAAGCTAAAACTGGAGAAATATGATCTCTCCTACTAACTCCGGTTAAGACTCTAGCAGCAGCATTTTAGATCAACTGAAGATGTTTTAAAGACGTATTTGGACATCCAGATAATAAACCATTGCAATAGTCCAGTCTAGACGTGACAAATGCATGGACCAGTTTTTCTGCATCATTTTTAGATAAGATGTTTCTAATGTTAGTGATATTACGCAGATGGAAGAAGGTGGTTCTAGTAACGTTTTTAATGTGGGGGATAAAAGACGTGTCCTGATCAAAAATAACACCAAGATTTTTAACATTAGAGCTGGAGGACAGATTAATGCATCTAAGGAGGGAGAAAGACTGAAAAATTCATTCCTAAGGTGCTCAGGTCCAAAAACCAAAACCTCAGTCTTGTCTGTGTTCAACAGGAGAAAATTAAGGGTCATCCAGGTTTTTATGTTTTTAAGACATGCTTGTAGTCTAAGTAGCTGATTGGATTCATTGGGTTTAATGGACAAATGTAATTGTGTGTCATCAGCATAACAATGAAAATTTATCCCATGCTGTTTAATAATTTTACCTAATGGAAGCATATACAAAGTAAAGAGTATTGGCCCAAGCACTGAGCCCTGAGGAACTCCATGACTAACTTTGGTGTATGAAGAAGATTTATTATTTACATTTACAAACTGGAATCTATCAGATAGATATGATTTAAACCATTTTAGAGCCGTTCCTGTAATCCCAATATCATATTCAAGCCTCTGTAGTAAAATATTGTGATCAACTGTATCAAATGCAGCACTGAGGTCTAACAGGACCAGTGTAGACACAAGTCCATTGTCTGAGGCCATGAGAATATCATTAGTGACTTTTACTAGTGCTGTTTCTGTGCTATGATGAGCTCTAAACCCTGACTGAAACTCTTCAAACAGATTATTTCTTTGTAGATGTTCACGCAACTGACCTGCAGCTATTGTCTCTAGAATTTTTGAGATGAAAGTTAGATTAGATATAGGTCTATAGTTGGCTAGGAATCCTTAATCAAGGTTATGTTTCTTAAGTAAAGGTTTAATTACAGCAACCTTAAATCTCTGTGGCACATAACCATCCATTAAAGACAAATTAAGTAGATCCAAAATGTGGACATTGTAGAACCTAAGAAACGTTATTAATTGGATAATCTGTTTTATAATAAAGAAGAGAAGGTAGAGCGCTACTTGTTTCTGAAGTAAAACTATATTTTATCCGCGTGCGACGAACTCCATCTTCAGCATTCATTGATCTGACTGCGAAGCCGCATTCATACCTGCTTGCTTTTCTAAGACCCGCCTTCCTGTTAGTAATTGGTCGAGACAACGCAGACTTCAATGTGATTGGATGTAATCCCCGTCTATCAACCAAAGTTATGTTGAGGCGGACCGGCAGGCTGTCTCGCTCTAAAGCCGGAAATCCGGCCCCCGGCCAGAGTGCTTTAAGCCCTGATTACAATGTGAATAACATATTTCTCTGTTCTGTTTTTCAGAAAATGATTATTCCTTCAGAGACACCTGTCTTTAAGCTGGAAGCTGTTGTCTTTAGAGGAGAGTCACAATGTCCCTGAGAGTAGTCAAAATAATCCTGAGCAGAGAGCAGTTGTTTCACACAAAGATCCTTTGTGTGAAAGACAGTTTGCCTTGGACCCCCCAACTGAGCGGTTCGTTTTGGACTCCCGATCCTGGTGGTCGTGCCAAGGTCCACTCGTTTAATTTCTGAGCAGATAAACATGTTGCTCAAATTACAATTGTTAGAAGTTTAGATAACTGCAGAACATGGAGCCTTTTCTCACTGCAAGACTCACGTTCTCGGCTTAACGTGCCGATGGATGGTGCACCTTCTCATCAGCTGTTGCCCTCACAGACCCCTGAAGCTATCACAGTGATGGTCAGCTACCTTGGGCAGTTCCCAGTGAGTCCTCCTCATGGTGTATCCTGGTCTGATCCACCAGGGAACCCCAAAAAGAAGAGTGGTGCCGTCAACACTGACCCGATAAGGAGCAGAACCTGGTGACATGATGCAACTCTTGGTCTGGTTGTTATTTTTAGCTGATGCAACTTGGTAAATCATTTCCTGCTTGCAGTGACAATAAATGACTTTATCTGATCACATTAAATAACTTCTTTCAACCAAAATCCAAAGTAAACTATTTATTAAAATAGTCAAACTTTGTCTAAATTCATGCGCGTATAAAACTGAAATAATTCCTGCTCAAAGAATTAATTTCTCCTTAGATAAGAGAATTAAGCCTTGATTGATTCATTATTATTGTTGTTGATTCTTAGTTTGATTATTTTTGTAATAAAACTTCAAAAACAACTTTGGTCTCTTGATGAATATTCATGTGTTCTGGTAGAACTCCCTGTAATGAACAGATTCTACTTCAGTGACTGATTCTGATCATTAAAGGGTGAAAATATTAAATAAGTTGTTGTTGGTCAGTAAACTGATCAGCTGGTGCCACACTTTAACGAGAGCTAAATAATTAAAATAAATGTAGTGGAGGGGAGTGGAGAAAGTGTCACCCTTCTTATTGCTACAGTGATGACAACAGTGGATAACAATGACAACAACAGACAATCTTAAGAGGCATACAGATTTTTTTATTAAAATAAGATGCAAAAAACTCCAAAAACAGCTAGATTATAAAGTGATGTAGAAAACTAACAACAGGAACATGTCTGCATTGGTTCTTGCCAGGAACTTAATGTTTGAAGCCAGAGATCAAGGTCGAGAACTTCAGATCTTTTTGCAAGATATTCCAGGAGACTATGACTAATGACCAGTCTATGACTGAACGCCTCCTAACTTAGTGGCTGATGGAAACGCTTTTTAAAAGCCTTCACACAGCAGCTGTTCTCTCAATGAAGGATTATTTCAACAGAAATCTGGTCATTTACAAGCCCGAATAGCAGCAGCAACTAGCAATAGCACTTCCAGTGCAGCCTGAGGCACAATGTGCAGAAATCTTTTGATTGTTGTTGGAATAATTGTGTAAAACTGAAAAACAACACTCACATGAACCACTTTAATCTTTGGGACTGGAACTGTTTCAGGCTGATCCGGATCAGAAGTGGGTCCACTCAGGCTGTACTGACAGAACTTATGGCTGACTCAGTCCCACAGCCGTCGTCTGCCAACAACTCAAGTATTTAATATTTAAATCACCATCAGTTTTGCACAAAGTTATTTTAGCCAGAAAAGGGATATTCCAGGTGGAAGTGCTATAGCTAGCTGCTGCAGTGTACATTAGCAGCTACATATCAGATGTAGATGTATGTGAAGCCTGAGATAAAAAAACAATAAATATTTGTCCATTTGAGCTGTTAAAAGACGTGAGCGGTTTAGTTTGCAGTCCAGTTGGATTTAAAATGGTTTCTCCAAACAGCCCGTCTACTGAACAGTTATCTACGAAGACGTGAACTGTTTGAAACGTTTACATAGGAACCCACTTCAGAATATGAGAACGATCCCATTAAACACGACAGTCCTTCACAGTCTCCCCATGTTTCTGCTGAAGAGTAGAACTGCAGCTCCGAAGCGCTCATAGTTTCTGCAGGAATCGGAGCACCAGGTCTCTGAGGGTGGTCCGCAGCGGCTCGTTGTTATCGCACACGATGTGCGTCCCATCCTCTTCCAGCTGGATCAGCGTGTCCTGGGCCTGCAGGTGCAGGATGTGTCCATCTGCCGTCTCCTCCACCTTAACCTCCGTGATGCCGTGCTGCAAATAAAAACAACATTCTTCAAGTAAAAAAACAGAAGAACAACTTCCACTTGTTTGTGTTGCAGAAAGGCTTTAAGAGAATCAAATTATTCACTTTTTGCAGAGTGGCCAGAAATGCTTCCAGGGGCACAGCTCCACTCAACAGGGGTTTGGGGGCCAAAACTACTGGGGGCTCCTCCACCACCCGTTTCCTCTTCTTACTGGGAGGCGCAGGAGAGGGTTTGGGCACAGACTGGCAACAAATAAGAAGAAACTCAGCAGTCTATGGGGTGACGACACATCTGAAACTTGTTCTGTGAACTCACCTGCAGGGTGTGCTTGTTGTCCTTCGAGTGCAGCACTGCGGAGACGGTTGCCACGGAGATGCCAGGTTTAACCTCACTGGGCACCAGTGAGTTTGCAAGCTAGGAGAGGTAGAATCAGAATCAGGCAGAAATGATGAGCATCCGTCTACAAAAAGTACTAATTTTATTTGTAACTCAACACTTAAAACCGACTTGGACATACAGAAGATGGGCCAGATACCTCAGGCAGGATGTAGACCCGCTCGAAGCGACGCCTGAAGGGCAGGTTGAGAACGGAGCAGCGCCTGTAGGGCATGGGAGGAGGCTGCAGCTCCAGCATCAGGTCAGAGCGGTGGGACTGGCTCACAGGAGGCTGGGTGTATGGTTCCGGACACACCACATGGAGAGGCTGCGGTATGACAGGGTGGACGGAAATCAAATGGTGTTCTCACACACAGAATACTTTTAGTTTATTATCTATACATCCGTAATCCAGAATATTCAAACTAACAACAGAAACTGAGCCAGCTATATGAAGCTAAAGACGGTTTAAACAAACCTGCAGTGGAGGGTTAGGGTTGGGGGTCATTTTTATCCACCACCAATGCGGGGGGGGGGGGGGCAATGGTGGCTTTGACCACCATATATTAATCTTCAGCCACAACAATCATTTGTGGAAACTTTTCTTTTAAGCAATATAGAAACTAGAAACAACAGTTTCCTCAAATGATAAGGGTGGTTTGTTTACTCATGCACACACATTATCCATCCAGCCATTATCTTCCGCTTTCCGAAGTCAGGTCTTGGGGCAACAGATTGAGCAGGGAGGTCTTGACATCTCTTTCCACAGCCACCTCTTCCAGGAGGACCCCAAGGCATTCCCAGGCCAACTGAAAGATGTGGTCTCTCCAGCATGTCCTGGGTCTTCCCCAGGGTCTCCTCCCAGTCAGACATGCCTGAAGCACCTCTTCTATGGAGGTGCCCAAGAAGCATCCTCACGAGATGCCCGAATCACCTCAACTGGCTCCTTTCAATGTGGAGGAGCAGCAATTCTACTCCCAAGATTCTCTCAGATAATTGAACACCCTGTCTCTAAGAGAGAGTCCAGCTACCCTGCAGAGGAAACTCATTTCAAACGCCTGTATCCACAGTCTCATTCTTTCAGTCACTACCCAGTAGGGGTGGGCGATATGGCTCAAATATAATATTGTGATATTTCAGAGTATTCTGACTGTTAAGATATTTTTGGACTGGTCCTATGGTTTGGATCTGCTCAGAGACGGGATTATAACAAAATTATGACTTGGTTCTGACTGGATTAAACTGGGCCAGCAACTCTAAAGAGAGTATCCCTGGGATTTCAATATCAGTCAAGGAATAGTTTAATCTGCTTGCCACATCATGTAGAAGGCTTTTGAAGCACTGTCTCATATGTCCAAACATGTCATAACCACATAAGATCCACTGAGATCACACTTAGTCACGCCCCCTCATACACTGACAGGTTGAGCTCCCCTTCTGCGAAGGAGGAGTCTAGGACCCTATAAAGGAGTAATGACACGGGACATCGGGGCTCTTCTGGGTTTTTGTGAATGCGTCACAGACCAGAGAGACCAGCGCTGTGAATTGTAATTTTTTCCTGCCTTGATTTTAATACAATTGATAAAACTTAATTGTTGTTCCCTTGATTTATTGATTAGTATGAGTTACCACTTCTGAGGAAGATTTGAGCCTGGGGGAGAAGACGTGGGCTGGAGGGGGGTTTCCAGGTCCGGTGGCCCGCAGCCAGCTCCCTTCTTTAACAATAAATTTTGTGATATAAAAAAACCCCCACAGAAATCATAGTTATTTCTTTGACAAAAGTATTATGTTGCTTTGCAGTATTATAAAATGTAAAAAAAAAAACAAGGGGTAATTTTACTGAAATTACTTTATTTAGTAAAGTATTCAGTCTCCAAGTGTAAAAATAAAAATGATCTTTCTGTTATTTAGATTGAAAAAGTCTGCACAAAATATAGATCAATAAATCCACCACAAAAACTAAAATGCAGGTGAAGTTTCCCAAAATAACTAAATAAAATGAAGCTTAAGATCTGTTGAGTATAAATGTAACATACAACAAAATATAGGTTGCCTTTAAATGAGCTATAACTTCGAAAAAAACTTGTAACAAGGTGATCCAGCTGACCCTGAAGCTTGTGGTGTTTCAGCTTCCTCTGTTCCTGCAGGAATGATTCATTTCTCTGATGCTCTGTCTTTCATCACCTGACTCTGTTCTTGGTCCATGAACTGTGGATCTAAGAGACAGACCTGCGCGTGTTTGAACCGGCCGTTTAGAGCGGGGGAGATGTTGCCCACTCCGACAGCCCAAGAGCGGGGTGGGGAAAGAAAAAAAAGACGAATGGCAGCTTTTAGAGCAGGGGAAGGGAGAGACAGTTGAGTTGTCTGTACCTGCAGTTTAGAGCATGGATGGAGAGACAGCTGAGCTGCGCATTGTTTGTTTTTACTTTCTTAGCTAGCTAGTATTGCGCGCAACTAATTAGCGCTACGCCAGTACCGACAGATGGATGGGGGTGCGCAATTCGGTTTGGTCATTAGGCGCACTTGGTTCTGTTAACAGGGTGGGGCGCTCTGACGTATTGCGTCATGAAATTAGCATATCATGATATCATTTTTTTGTCCTGGCAAGCTTTTTTTATCGGTATTATCGTGAACGATATGATATGGCACAGCCCTACTACCCAGAGTTCATGACCATATGTGAGGGTAGGAACATAGATCAACGAGTAAACAGAGCTTTGTCTTACAGCTCAGCTCCTTCTTCACCACAACGAACCAGTACAGAGTCTGTAATATTGAAAATGCTGCACCAGTTCGTCTGTCATTCTCACACTCCATTCTTCCCTCACTCGTGGACAAAACCTCAAGATACTTGAACTCCTCCACTTGAGGCAGAACCTCACAGGGGTCCGAATTACTACTGGCAATGTGAACCAAACTCTCGCACCGCTTGTATAGGGACAGATTGACCCATAGCAACGGCCCTCCAATCCTATACTCAAAAAGCACCCCCCCCCCACGCCCCCACAGTGTACCCCAAGGAACACAGTCAAAAGCCTTCTCCAAATCCACAAAACACATGTAGACTGGATGGGAAAACTCCCATGACCCCCTCGAAGACCCTAGTGAGTGGTTAGAGCAGTCATTCTCCAACGCGAGAGTTGGGGGTTCGAATCCACCAGCAGTCACATGTTGAAGTGTCCCTGGGCAAGACACTGAACCCCTCATTTGCCTCCGATGTGTGTCCCATCAGTGTATGAATGTGATAAATCAATGATTAGTGTCTTTAGAATGATTTGTTCAATTAGCTTTGCGTTGACCTTGGACATCAAAAAACACAGTGTACCAACACCAGCAGATGACATGGCACCCCAAACCATCACTGACTGTGGAAACTTGACACTGGACCTCAAGCAACGTGGATTCTGTGCCTCTCCTCTCTTCTTCCAGATGTTTAAACATTTTATGTTTTAAGTTTTTACAAAGTTTCTGCATTAACTGTTGGAGCCAAACCTGTTAATCAGCAACACCACTTGGGATAGATTTTCATGAAACTCTCAGAAAGTAATCATTGAATGAACGTCTATAACCGATGGACTTCTGGATTCAACCCAATCCAAAATGGGCGCCACAGCCAGTTCAAATGAGGTCGGTGTTTAAAACTACAATCTACAAGGAGATGAGTGATATACACACCTTCTAGTCTTTTAAAAGTTTTTCAATATAAACAATTACAGTAGTCCCTCGCTACTTCGTGGTTTGTTTGTTGTGGACTCACTCTATCGCAGTTTTTCAAAAGAAGATTGGACATGACACACAACTGAGCAGCACGGTGGCGCAACTGGTAGAGCTGCTGCCTCTCAGTGAGCAGGTCCCCAGTTCAAATCCCGGTCCGGGTGCCTTTCTGGGTGGTTTGCATGTTCTCTCCGGGCATGCGTGGGTTTTCTCCAGTTTCCTCCCACAAACCAAAAACATGCATGTTAGGCTGACTGGTGACTCTAAATTGTCTCTAGGTGAAAGTAAGAGAGTGAATGGTTGTTTGTCTCATTTGTCTCTATGTGTCCCTGTGATGGACTTGCGACCTGTCCAGGGTGTACCCCGCCCCTCGAACAGTGATTGCTGGACATGGGCACCAGCGACCCGTGACCCAAAATGGAAAAAGCAGGTAAAAGATAATGGATGGATGTTGTGGTGACCTTGGATTTAAGAAAGCAGAGTTTACCAACACCTGCACTGGACATTGCACCCCAAATCATGACTGACCGTGGATATTTCACACTGGACCTCAAGCAGTATGGGCTCTGTTCCTCACCCTTCTTCCTCAAAACACTTGGACCTTGATTTCTGAATGAAAGGGACACTTTACATTCATTGGAAAAGAGGACTTTCAGCCAAGATATAGTTTACCCTCCAGGAGATATTTATCAGTACAACAGTAAACAATCATAAAAAAAACA